GGGGGGGGGGAGGGCTACCTCGCCCGCGGTCGTAAAAGCAGCGATAAACGGCCGCCCCAGGGGCCGGCTGCTGCTGAAACACGGCCGACTCAACATTCCTCGAGCGAGTACCACGACACTTTCAGATGACTGAACATTAATTATTTCCGTACGCGTCAAATACTAATGATCATTATTCCCGTGAGTGGAATGCGTGTTATACCCCCGAAAGTGGCTGTTCTTCCCTTCCTGAAATGTGAGATCCTGTAATGTCTTACACGTCGACTTGCGGGTTTTCCCACTTCCAGGTATCTCCCCCTTCCAGACGAGAGTCTGAAAGCCTTACACAGGTACTAATTTGTCGGGCCGACCGGCCAATCAATCTGACGAACAGTATCATGTGGTGGCGAGCTGTCCGACAGTTTTTCGCGTGGTTTGTTGGTTCCGACCTTACCTCTTCGAATTGACCGCGGATTCCTCCACCATACCACCCGACAATTTTCAGTGACTTAGACTTTGAAATGCCGGCACAAATCAGTAAAAGTTGTTTAATTAGAAAATTTTCTCGAACAGAAGACTTTTAAGGACACGAAATACGAATAAGAAGTCCAAAAAGTTCAAAAATTAAATTGGCAGATCCAGTAAGACAAAATAATAAACATTGCATAAAAAGTAAATTTCTTTTCGGAATCGGCAATGGGAAATATTTTGGCAATTTTACAAATGAATGCGACATGTAAAAATTGATTGTTTTTATTTATAAATTGTTACAATTACGATCAATAAATCTTTATTAAACGTCATTAAAAACTCGATTTAAAACTTAAAAAAAAGATAAAAAATTAAACACGTGCCAGCCAAACATGTTTTTTAGCAGTTGCAGGAAGATGAAGCAACGTATGTGATTTCGAAAGGTAATACGTAGTATAGATATGTTATTATTTCTTCCTTTTATGTTATAGGCAAATACACTTAATTCACTTGTGAATAAAGTGAATTCATAAAATAAATAAATTTATTAGTGGTTTTGTCTATAATTTAAGTGGAAAAAAGAATAACTTACCGATACTGAAACAAACTAATTGTTTCATCAAATACGTACTACACAGTACAAGAAAATGCAAATTTGACCAAAGAATTTTGTACTTCTAACACATGGTTATTCAGAATTTGTTACTGTTTTCACTTTAATATTCAATATTCAATTATACAAAACCTTACATTTTATCACGTGCTATATTTGTCATGTGTTATATTTTATCACGTGTCATAAACTTCGTCAATAGTTTTAATAACTTGATAGTTCGGACTTTTGCTGTTGGAATAGAAATCTGCTGCTCATAGTTCGCTTTCGGACTGTTTGTGAAGATGAATTCAAAAGATGTTCCTCACCTGCATTTTAACTCTGTGACTATAGCCCAGTCATTGTAGCTTTTTAGTTATCAGAGTTATCAAAGATTTTCTTTTTTAATGACTTTGTTTTGTTGTTTTAAACAACACATTAAAAATAGAGAACAACAGCGGCGTGACCAAAAAGTATTGAAGTTCAAAGGTCCAAAAAACAGTTTTTTTTAATGGGTGTTCTAGGGATCGGAGGTTAAGTAATGTGATTACAAGAAAAAAAATGTATGTACTTATCTACAAAAATGGTTCTACTCATTTTTCACGCACGACAAACCATTTTAATGTAAACAAGCGGATAATGTTTCCGAATGAGGCTTAAGTTCCATTCCATCTATATGTATTGAGAAAGGATACGAGGCGAGATTTTTACTTTCTCACTACGGTGTAGAGACAAAGTTATGTAAGGCTTCTCGGAAAAACGGTGAACTTTCGGCAGAAAAACTCTTATTACAGGGCCCTTAGAACGAAAAAGTGGGTAAATCCAGTTGCTAAATTTAGAAAAAATCCTCTAACTTCAGAAACTCCTGTAGCCATAATCCACGTTTTGGGGGCCCTTGATTCAGAAAAATCGAATGACGAAAACCCGTCTGTCTGCCTCCAACGGTCTGTTTCTGTCTGTGTCTCTGTCTGTTTCTGTCTGTCTCTGTCTGTGTTCGTTTGTACCTGTCTGTTTCTGTATTTCTATGTGAATCTCTGTCTGTCCCTGTCTGTTTCTGTTTTTTCTCTGTCATTGTGACCCTGTCTCTTTCTCTGTGACTGTGTTTCTGTCTGTCTCTTCCTCTGTGACTGTCTCTGTCTGTCTGTCTCTTTCTCCATGAATGTCTCAGTGTGTCTCTAAGACAATGCTAACGGCAAAATCGTTCAACCGATTTTCTCCAAAACTGATATTTCCCAACCAATCTGGCTGATGACGTGGCCTCTTGAATCTAAATCCGATATTTTAATTTGCAGTGGTACTTTGCTAAATATTTTAACTTTGGGGGTGAAAAAGTTCAAACTTCGAAAATAAGCTCTTAAGACAATTTAATCATATTTTATCTTATAAACTTCTTGGATATTCCGAATGGTTGAGCCACAATAAGCACTCAAAGTTGGTTTGGAAAAATGCTTTCTAGGCAAAAATTTGCATCGCAGAAGCATAGAAACACTCCAAAAACTTGAAAATTGCTTATTGCTACTGCTATCGTTTCCTATTTTCAATATGTTGTTTAAACAACAAAATAAAACGATTAAAAAAAGAAAATCTTTGATACATTTTTTAGAACTGAAGGACAATTCGGGGCCAAAATGACTGTATTATATAAAGGTAGACTATGGGATCGTCTGTAAATTACGTAATGCTAAAGAGGGGGGAGGGTGTTTGAGGAAGCGTTACGCTACGTTACATGGGAGAGAGGGGTCTTAGTTTAGCGTTACGTTATATGAGCTTTACGATGATATTAGCTTTTTGTTTTTTCAACACTTGCTGAAATAATTTCATTTATTTAGACTTACACTAAAACATTAAAATATTAACATACCAAATTTGAAAAAAAAATTAATTAAAAACTTATGCTATATAATGTATGAAATAATTAAAAATGTATTTTCACCGATGATATATTGATTTTGGTACGTTGTTTACTGTTTATAACTTCACTCGCTGCTCCCAAGATGTATTTATATCATATTTGACTCGTCATACACGGTTGTAATTGTATATGTGACTAAATAATAATAATAATAATAATAATAATAATAATAATAATAATAATAATAATAATAATATAATAATAATTATTATTATTTATTTTATTATTATTATTATTTATTTTTTTTTTATTATTATTATTTATATTTTATATTATTATTAATATGTGCATGTGGGCAGAAGATCAAATAGTGCTTTACGTTCGAGGTGGCACAAACCCCCTAATAAAATGCAGTTGCAATGCCGAAATCGACAATTGTTTCGTCTGAATCGTTGAGGACGCGCGCTATTGAGAATGAGTCGATAGGAAGTTATTGCTTGCATAAGAGATCAATACATCGATCTTTCATTGCTCATGCGTAGATAGCGGACTAAAGTGGTGCGAAACTTAATCTGCGCATCGCGCAGAAGATCGATAGTGCTGTCCGCTATGGCGTGCACAGACTAGTGAAGGTTTGAACTATCAGTATCACTGCATGGATGCTGACAATAGAGTGACACATGGATAGTGACAATAGAGTACAATTTTAGTTAACGTTTTCGATTTCTTTAATTTTTATTAATCATTTAGTTTATATATAATATATATCATATATTATATATATATATATATATAATATATATATATATATATAATATATATATATATATATATATATATATAACTAAAGATCTGGCTTCCACTGCCAGCTGGGGCTGTCAATTCTCTGAACAGTTGATAAAAATAATACTACTCATAAAAAACGCACTTGAACATGTTCGTAAACATTTCAAACATATGCTTCCATTTAAACAAAGTGGCACTTTAAGGTCAAACGAGCTGGAAGGGGAAGGGGACATTGTCTTCCAATCGAGAGCTACAATGTCAAAAATTTAAGTCGTACCGAAGCTCTCGATTGGATGACAGTGTTTCCTTCTCCATCCAGCTCATGATCTTGATGTACGTTTGTATTTAAATCGAAGTATACTTCTATGTCTCCCAAAATGCTCAGCCGAACGCACAGATGTCACGTGACACACGAAGCTTGGCGGATTCTCGTGAACTGCTTGTCACAACCGGCCGCTTTCAAAATACCCATTGACAGTGACTGAATTTAGGGTTGATTGTGAAGTAAATTGATGTGTTCGAAATCATTGTGGTTAGTGGTTTGTTATTTTTTTTAATTGTCGTCATCCTGAGTGTTAGGACATATCAAATTCTTTGGTGGGTAATTTGATCCAATGTCATATTTAGTTTTGTAAATGTTTTTAACTTCGTCAAAACTTTAATTTTTTATTGAAAGGAAGACAATCATGTTTTTACTTTTCAGTGCGGCGTCACAGATCATTAGTGAAAATGCAGAGGCAAGAAAGACAAGTAGATTCTGCACTTGATGCTCTCATAGAAAGAGTCAATGACATTAAGCTCACAATTATAGGATTGCTTAATAAGTTAGATAGTGAATACAACTCAATTAATTGGCCAACATTTCTTGATAATTTTGCATTGTTATCAAGTGAAGTAAGTACTATACTTTTATGAAAAATTTCCCCATTTTCACCCCCACAAATGTTCTTTGACTTGAATGATGTGAGCATAAAATTTTAAAAGTGAATTTCCTTGTTAAAATTACATGTGGTGTAAGATAATTTAACTTATTACCATTATATTGCTTTGATCTATAATATTTATCAGAACCATGTTTTCAACATTCATACTTACAGATGACAATGGACAAATAGTTTGGGAATCTGAATATACATTTGCTCTTGCTATGATAAGTAATATTGCTATTATTAATATGCTTATATTATATTATTAATTAGGTAGACTACAAAGTATAATATAATGCATATGTAATGCTATTTATTACTCTAAAAATAAATTAGTATTAATTACACTACAATATGTTATATTATTAATTACTGAAAACCAGGGCAACTTTGGCAGTGTTTGAAAATTATTTTTTTTGTTCCTCTGCCAAGTTTGTGATCCAACAAGTAGGGGTGTCAATGATTTCATGGCACAGAAAAGACATGGGAAACACAGAGCTTTTACATATTTTCAACCTTATCACTTGTTTGCACGTCTTTATCAAAGTTTTGTTTTTGACTTATAGAATGGGAACTTATGGTTCTGATTATAATTTTGTATTCTTTATATTGCGTTAACAGGCAGAAAATGCCATAAATAGGTGGGTTTTAAACTTAACAGTCTAATTGGTCCAGAGCCTAATGTTGACATGGTGTGTTGACTTGAGTTCCTAGTATGTCAGCTTTAGGAAACATTTTAATTCATGAGCCCTTTCTGCAAATTTAGATAATATGTCACCCCAAAAGATTGTCAAGTTCCTCAAAGGGCTCCTTGGTAAAAGTAATAGATGCTGTAAGTATAGGGAGAAATGATAATGTAGCAGCAAAGGACTTTGGTCAGACATGCTTTTAGTAAAGCACTTGATGTTAAAGAGAAGTAATTAATTTGTGATATCCAAACAACCTTGTGTACCTGATCTGATCTTGTGTGTGTTCTGTTTTACATTTCTTTTAATCATAAATATTAAAAGTAATAATTTACTAAAATTAATTTGTTTTTTGTTAATGACATCTTTAGTTTCCTTAGATGTCAGCTTTAGGAACCAGTAACAATCGACCTTTTTAATTTTAGGTGACTTTGCTCAGTGTTAGTTTCTCTTTTCTAAAAAGAAAATGCCTTGAAAATTTCTTATAAAAAAATATATTTAAACTCGTAAAGAATCCAACTATATCAGAAAAGGCCGGTAGTTGTAATTATTTTGACTACACCAGCCAGGTGAAAGTGATTTTTCCTATAACCCTTCAGCTTTTGTTGCCATTGCCTTATTTTGTTTTCAAATTGTTCATTTTTCTTCTTTGTTTATGATAGTTTACTCTTGTATATGTTAAATTAAAATAAATTGTTTTTCATAATTTTGATTACATTATTAAACTAAGTGTTAAATCTTGACATAAATATATAAAAATATTTATATATTACATATCATACGTTCTTGTAATAACTAAATATTTGGCATAAATGATCAATTGGCTTAAATGATTAATGATAACAATTTATTTTAATTGATTAACAATAAGCATTTTTCATAATTTATTTTTATTCATTATTACCTCTGAATTGTTCATAAATATGTAGTATACATCTATATACAATTAATTTTACATGTAAGAACTTTAATAATAAAAATTACACTAAAATAAAAAATTCAATTAAAATTTAAAAAATTATATTTTATATTTAAAAAATTAATTTTTAAAATTTTAAAAACCTCTTTTCCTCACCCTTTTTAGTACAAATGTCTCAAGTGTTTTAGTAGTGGAAAATTAATTTTTCTTTGAGTGATTTATGGTTTTTACTTGGTTTATTACTGATAGTTAAGTTGCCCCTTTCCCATAATAACTTTGCCAATGCACTTTTTTATATGTTTTTAGATCAGAAAATTATACTTGAATTGTCATTTTCCCACATATTATAAAGTTAATGATCAAGACTAATTGTGTAAGATAGGATTGTGTACATTCAAACAATTGTGTAATTATGTTAAAAATTAGCAAATCAATTGAAAGAAGAAAAAAGTGGCAAAGTTGTTGTGGTTTACAGTACATTACAATGAAGTTCTTTCTCACACTTAAGCTCAATTTTCATGCGCAAATTATGTTAATGATTTTATATCAATGCATCAAAGCATGAATGTTGAGCCATGGTATAATAGAACCTCAGAACCTCCTAATATTAGATTGTTCTCTTACATTGAAAACCAGAGTTTTTGTAAACCTGAAATATAAATTCTGTATAGTGTTATCCTGGAAAACTTTGGTGATGTTTAATTGTAAAATCATTTCGGAAATATTTCCTCAAGTAAGTCAAAACAAATGCTGGAGTTTGGAAAAATTTTGTTTTTATTGATGCTGATTATTAAAGAATTGAAATTGGTTCCAGTTTGCAATGTGAAATTGTAAAACACCGATTCTCAATTAAATAATTTTTAAAATTCTTATAAATAGTTGAAAATGCTCTGTGTCAGGTTAGGCTTTTCTTATGGACTAGAATAGTGCTTTTGTTCATTAATAATCTTTCATGAAATATTTGATTAATCATATGTTGTTTCTTTGTATACAGCTAACAGCTATACGCAAGTTGTTGAATAAAAATAGAATGCCTTGTTTACAAGAGCTGACTGTATTGCCACTCAAGTTAAGTCCTCAGTGTGATGAGTCACTGATGCAAATGACAGAAGATCGCGTGCCTGCATTTGCTCATGATGTAGTTCCAAATTACTTGAGAACACGACCTGATCCAGAACTGGAGCAACGCCACAAAGAGATGGAAAATAATGTATCTGACATGTCACAGGAAGAAATTCAGGTACCCTGATATATAGTACAAAACAAACTTCACATACTGTAAACTTTGCTCCTTTTTTGTTTTCTTTTTCAACTGATTTGCTAACTGATAATGTGCTCAATTGTGTCGCACCTATCTCAATTAACCTTAATCTCTAGTTTTAAAATTTGTGGAAAATGGGTACTGAAGTTCAATTTTCTGTGCTAAAAACATTAAAAAAGGTGTTGGAAAGTTATCCTGGAAACAGAGCAACTTTGTCAACTGTGTTAAAAACAAAAATACAAAAACAAATATGCTCAATACCTAAAATATAAATATTTGTATAAATTTACGCAAAGATTTAACATTTAGTTTATACTTAATAATGTAATCAAAATTATGAAAAAAATATTCTTAACATGCCATAATTTAAACTACATATACAAAGAAGAAAAATAATCAATGACAAGAGAAATAAGAATTTGAGAAAAATAATGAAATTCTAGGTCGATTAAGTTGCCACGTTTTAACCACATTTCCCGGTGCAATATTGCCAAGTATTACTCACACAACTTTTCTTGAACAATGGATTGAAGAAATGCGGGTTAGAGTCAAGGTATTAGTTACGAAATCGGCTACTCGATTTTATGAAGCAATGCCAGTCTCTGGAGAATCAGTCATGAGTTCTCAATAACTTGCGTTCTAACTTTCTCAGGAGTTCTAGATATCTCCTGTGATGGATCTTCACCTGCTTCAGTCATTTCTTTACATTGTTTTGGAGAAAATCTCAGACAGAAGTTCTTGCCTTCAACGGAAAATAGTTTCTATTTTGCGCCAGGGAAGATGTGGTTGGAATGTTGTCTTCAGTGCTTCTTGCATGATTTTGCCTTCAACTGTTTATTGTGCCAGAAAGGGGGGAGCAAGGTCATCATTCAAGAAAAGTTGCAAGATTAATGACAATATTGCATCTAAATGCAACATACAATTAAGCTCAAATAGTGGATCTGAAAGAGAATTAAATGCTTCATTGAACAATCAAATGGTTTCATTTAAGGTTGCAGAGTGAGACACTTTTATAAAACTCCCTGTTCTACAAGTCCAAAACAAAACCCTGATGAAGACTTGCAAACTAGTGTGTCGTTGAAATAAATAACACACTAAGTGCCAAAATGAGCATTTCTCAGGAGGCGAAAATTCATTTTATTTATTGCATATAATGAATTCATGAATAAGAAAGGTGCCGTTTCATTAACAAACTATATTTATATTATGTGCACTATTTTATAATATCTAATGTTAATCCAACAATAGTTATATAATGGAAACTAAAAAAGGATAAAATTAAACTATATAAATGAAGAACTTTTAAGAGAAAAAAAAAACTAAATCCAATAGGAACAAAAATACACACACTTCAGAAATATTAAACCAAACATTATAAAACAGAATAATTTGGATCCTTATAAAGTTTCAGATTGTTAAACATTACTCTTGCGGAAATAATTTTTCAAAAAATGCCCTGTTTTCAGGTTATTGAAAACGTAACATTTCTCTTAAGTCCTTTTGTTTTTTTTACTGATGTATTTCAGTTGGGGAATCTGTGTGTGCAAAATTTTTGTGGAAAAACCTTATTTTTCATCAAACAAATGTCTTTCCAAACTTCTATATCACTGAGATGTCTCGTGGCCTTTGTAATTCTAATCCCCTGAACTTGTAAAATTTGAATATTACTAATGTTCAGTATTAAATCTGTTGCAGCTTTGAAGTTCTTGAAATCTGTTTCTTATGTCAAAGTGATCTGAAAAGGTTTTGATGTAGTTACAATTATTTTAACCAAGTCGAAGGGTACTTTACATCTCTCTCCCTTTTTTCTGTTTTTGCAAAGACCCTATCATTACTCATGAATAAATGTTCTTTTACCGAAAAATTTTGATTAATTTCAATAACTCTTAACATAAGCAACAATATACAGTCACACGAATAAAAGCATTTTTGTTTTGTCCTGCTCAATTATCACTCTTTTCAAATTCTCTTTCTATATCTTTCAATAATTTTCAAATATTGATTTTACCTGCTGATTTTGTGAAGCTCATCCTATCACGTGTTTTCTGCTCCTACGTATGGCAGACCCTCACTTTTCGTCGTTTTTCTCCACTTGCGCACTGCCATCACTATGTTTACGCCTTTTCCGTGGAGTAGATTCACTCATTTCATTGGTGGATTTTTACCTCTGTTCACAAGACACATATGAATGCCATGAAATGTCAGCAACACAGCAATATCAGCAAATGCCACCACCATGTGTTTCAGGTTTAGAATGGCTCATATGTCACTTTTTATTGAACAGTTCCGGGCACATAACTCAGCTGCCATGTAGCGGTGAGGTATCCATCGACTTGTAATGTTGAAGAAGTGAACCCATTTTATGCAATGTAGACAATGGTCCATGTATCACATATCTAACATTAGCTCTATTTGTCCCTTTTTGGCACTTAGGCCTTTATTTATTTCAACAGTAAATATGATCAGGTTAAAAATGGGTGAAATTCCTTTTCAGTGTCTTATCTGTGCAATGAAGTCATTGTAACCTCTCTATTTGTTGGATCAGGAACTTGACAGGACAACAAACAACAAAATTTTCTTGAACTGGCCAATTTATTTACATTAATAGACATATATTTGATCTACTTAGAGTTTAACACCCGGTGGTAGATTTGTAAGAGTACAATACAATGCAATGTACATACAATATGCATAAAACGAATATACAGAATACTTTGGATTTTATTTTATTACTGTCTGTTATTATTGAAAAATATTCCAATAAATAATGGGATGTTTCCATCCCTAGGGACAGTAATACTTGGGAAGCCAAAGATACTACGATATTATTCCTAACAATAGCTATCGGGATGTATCCATTTCCTGTTCATCCTTGGTCTGTGTTGTTTTCATGACTATGAACGTTATTTATTGGCGAGTTCAAAATAATGTTTAAATACTGTTCTGTGGCTTTTAATTATCATGATTAAAATAATTATTTAAAATAAATGTTTGCAATTTATTACACTTTTTCAACATTAAGCTATTTGATGTCTAACGTACATGTATTTTACATGTCCACTTATCCATTTTTGGCCCAAACTGCCACTACGTATACATTTCCATTTTTCTGAAAAAACTGTATAATTATAACATTATAAGTTAAAATGAAGAAGGGTGAAATGCCTTGTAATACTGTATTTGGGGACATCACCCTAGCAAGGGCAGTCTGGTATTGTGATTTTTACACTGACAGCATGGATATTAAATTGCACTAAAAAAATATGGGGAACAGCCAGCAAAGCTAGAACACCATTCACAAAAAGAAACTGATTTTTTTGTATAATATGAGAAAATAGCACTGAATTGCCACATCTTTTAAAAGCAATCCCTTAGAATACAAGATTTTAAATATAAAAAATAATATAATAATAAAAATTTAGAGTAAAATATACAAAATGTTGTCAGGTAGATAGTAAACAATAGAAAAACATTGCTGCCAGTGGAGTATCCAGAGTTGATAACCTCAGTCTTCTCATCCTAGATGCAATATATTGACAAAAAGAGACTCTTTGTTCATTTTTCTAGGTTACTGTGAATATTTATAATATTAATATTATATTCGTGAATTTTATAAACGAATTTTGATTTTCGTTACATCTTTTTCTATATTCTCACTTTCCTTTTTCCTATACTTTTCATCTTCTTCCTCTTCTCCTCCACCTTTGTTTTCTACTCCTCCTGCTTCTTCTCTTCCTTCCCTTCTACTTTTCCTTCTCATCTTCCTCCTCCTTCATCTCCTCCTTCTCCTCTTCCTCCTCCTTCTTCCTTTTTCTTCTCTTCCTCCTTCCTTCTTCATCTCCTCTTCCTCCTTCTTCATCTCCTCTTCCTCCTCCTCCTCCTCCTCCTCCTTCTTCTTCTTCTTCTTCTTCTTCTTCTTCTTCTTCTCCTTCTTCTCCCCTTCATACTTCTCCTCATCCTCTTCCTCCTTCTCCTTTTTCTTCTTCTCCTCCTTCTCCCCTTCCTACTTCTCCTCCTCCTCCTGGTCCTCATTCTCCTCTTCCTTCTCATCTTCTTCCTCCTTATACTCTTTCTCCTCCTCACTCTCTTCCTCCTCCTTCTCCTCTTCCTCCTGCCTCCTCCTCACTGCTCTTTACAGATGTCTCGGTAGTGCAGAATATTACAGGATTAATTGCTGCTTTAATAACATACACGTAAAATTACATGTGAAATTCATACTCTACTACATCCTTTCTACTTTATTTCATGATAAAAGAATTATGTTTATTTGTGGATTAGTAGGTTTATTCAAATTATATATATTAAATTATATATATATATATATATATATATATAATTTAACTGTGATATTTTTTAACAGACGTGTTACACTTATTGTTAAATTAAAGAGCTTGATAGGTTTATTTTTATAAGAAATATGATGCAAAGTCTTTTTCACAAAAGGGAGTACAGTAAACCAGAGGATTAATAACTGAACTTAAAGTGTTAGGTATATCATCTATTTTGTCAGTCAAAGCAACAGCTTAGGTGTGTACTTGTTCAGTGTTTGATCTTAATAATTTTTTATGATTGATGAATTATAAAAATGTTTTTTAATCATTGTTTCTCTACATGCTGACAGAAAGAAGTTGCTGAGTTTTCGGAGGTGGTTGATCATGTGTTAAAGATAGTACATGAAGCACGTGAGACCTGGGGAATTGAAGAAACAGCACATAAAGCCATGCAGACCAGTACTTCTGCAGACACACAGATGCTTGCTTCTGCTGTTGGTGTTGGTAGAGGTCTCAGGGTGAGGTATCAAACTCTTGAGTATGATTTTTGGAATGATATATTGACATATATCAATATTAATAATAACAATCGCAACAATTATTATTGTTGTTGATATTATTATTATTATTATTATTATTATTATTATTAAAGAAAACTAAGGAAATGACATTGTCATGTACCGAATTAGGCCCGTAACACTGGTTGACAATGGTTTGGTAGCAGAGGCCATATTTGTAATCAATTTTGAATGTTATATCATTATCTGAATGGAAGAAACTTTCCAACCCAACCCATTTTTGTGTGTATGTCACTTGGGCTACTCTGCATGTCAGTGGTGAGGGTAGAGTGTTTTAGTTCAGGGCTGACCATAAATAATGTAATTATAAATTATACAAAGTATGTATTTAGAATTATTTTGAATACCTCCTCTCCCCCTTGAAATACTTTGGTTATGCATGCTTGAACTCCCTCTAATAAATTATGTAACATTTCCGACAACACCTTCCCCAATTTACAAGTAAAAGTAAAATGTCACAGTAAAATATCACAGTAAAAAAATTTGTAATAATTTTATTTCTGTTTAAATTAAAAATTTCAATAATTAAGGTCAGAATTAGTTGATGCTGACTGCACCAATAAGATTGGGGACAATTGTGGAGTGCAGGAAGGACAATACAAGGGCAAATGTCTACTGTACCAATTTAATTAGATTCTAGCATATACTATAGATCAGTTTTGAATATTTTCTTCACAATCATACGGGTTCAATAAAAAAAATTGATGAAAAAATATGTCCATTTATTGTAACAATGTATACATCATAAGATTATTTTTTTTATATTTTTGAAATTAATTGCTTCATATTTCAAAATTTCAGTATAAAACTGATAAAAGGAAATAATTTTTGTATGTGTTAAAAAAAAATCCATGTTTCGAAACGCTAAACTACCCCCACTGCCTCAAACCCCCTCCCCTCTTCTTCCGCATTATGTAGTTTATAGACAACCCCTTATATGAATATTATCTGGTGTAGTTATTCTGGTACCTCCTATTCCAGTAATGAGATGTTCTTTGCAAAGAGTGGTTGTATATTTTACAAATAGTTTTCTTTAAAAATGGGAGAAGATCTTTCAAATGATCAATAAATTTTGTTCTGCTTCTGGATAATTAATGTTTAAACCACAAGGCATATGTTCAAGATAAAAAAGTGAGAAAAAATATTGTTTGTGTTTTCATTGAAAAGTTGGTGATGAAGATAAAAGATGGCTCATAAATATAAGTTGTGTCAGTTGCTGTTTGTCTCTTATCGAATGGTTGAAAGCCAACTACAACTTGATACCAATTAATGTCCCTATAGAGTGGCGATATTTTATGAATTATTTTGATGATTGTTACAATCACAGAGTGATGTTAAATACTAAAATTGAATATTTGGTTATCCCATCTGCTTTCACACCGTCAAGCAGTGTAATTGGCACCTATCCTGATGATGGATGATTAACTATCAATTTACATTCACTATTCTTAATACATAGATGGTAGATTTTAACAATTGCTAAAAATGTGAAATGTTACCAAATGTCGAAAAAATTATTATTTGCAATAAAATATCAAATCTCTTACAAAGTGTGAATTGGTTGTGAATCTGCAATATAATTGATAAATTGCATTTTATGGTTTCCTTCGTGTTTGCTCTCTATCTAGGGATGGGACATCTATAGCACCACATCAGTGTTTGAAAACATTTAATTTGACTGATCCTGAAAGCCGGAGTGTTCAGGGAGTCTGATCTTCCTTAGTTTGCTCTACAGGGCATGTGTTGCGTGTTTCGCTTTTATATTTGTTGAAGTTCACAAATGACAAAATGTTAAATTGATTTCTCTTATTTCCTGATTTTAATGGGGAAATCTAGAAAGCATCAGCATTTTTTTTATCTCAGTGCCTTCCCTTAATTTTAGTTTTCTCAACAAATGCTACAAAATGCTAAATCTTAATTTTTATAATGCTACAAAATGATACAGCCTGGTTTTCAAAATGTGATTTTTTTAAAATCTTAAGTGCTAAATTCTACCATTCATATACTATTTACATGTTCTTTCCATAGTGTGTTTTATAATTTAATTACAATGTCATAAAACACACATATTCTTGTAGTAATTCAAATGTCCTCATTAAATTAGTGCGAGCATATATAGAATATTTTAGATTTATCACCTGGCTGGTGCAGTTTCAAATTTTAGTGTCTGCTTCTGCTTGTGTTGCTGTTATTACAATAAACCTTATTTGATTTTGGTTATTAAATATTTAATGGCTATAACATTGACAGGTTCATGCAGTTGTAATTCATGTTTGGTGGGGTATCTTCTGATTTCACACGAGACAGAATGATATCCAAAATCACAACTAGAGCACTATTTCTGGTGTACTGCAGAGCTTTTGTCATGTTTCTCAATACTTCTATTGGAAAAGTGTATTATTTTATATTGCTTCCATTGTTACAACTCCAGAGCTAAATATTATTGAGTCAACCAAGGAAAAAAATTGCCATTAGCATCTTGAAGTCTGTAGTGTTTTGTTTGTATCAGTGCGTAGCTATCAAGAATGCAAATGAAGCCACAAGTACATTTTTAGTTTATTGGATGTCACTTTCCTCCATGTTTCATATCCTTTTGATATATTTAGGCTTAGCGATTTGATCTATAGTGGAGTGGTCCTATTCATTTCAGAGTCAATTCCAATCCCCAAAAGATAAATATTAAATTGCTTTTTAGAAAGAAAAAACTGATGACTGAATTGTATTGTGCATGAAAATCCATGACCTTTTATGATACAGATGACATATTAGAGATCACATTGTGATCTGATGTTTAGCCAACCATACAATATTTAACATATTCTCAAGCGTTGTTGTGAAATTTTCAATGAACTATTGTTATTGACATTTTCTGCAGGTATCCTTAGTTTAGAACAGAATATTTTTATTATCAAGTCCTTCTTGGGAAAATTGTGTGTTTTTTAGAGAGGATAAAGTTCACTAGTGTTTTCTGTTCACTGTGTTAGGGTGTGCATAGGAAATAAATAATTATAAATTATTAATGTGAGAAATTAGGAGAAAGTATAAATTATTTAAAATTTCAGTTTATTTTACTTTTGCCTTGTTTGTAAAATTGTTTTGAATTATGCAAAACTTGATGTTGACGATATACATGCTTTTTATGAAGGTTCCATTAACTGGTGCAAGAATGTCATCCCTACCTGTGAGATGTGGCACAAACAATTCCCAGAATTCTGGGACAGAACCTTCACATGAGCTTGATAATCGTAAGTATTAACAAATGTACCTTTTATTTTATTGCTATGTTACATAAAGCGAAAGATTGGATTCCTGCAGCAGAAATTGGTGATTTTTCTTCAGAGAAATGCATATTGTGGGCCCTGCTTTGAATGAAAATGAGGTATTCATCACAAGCACCATTCTTTTAAGCATTCTCTGCACTATCTGAGGACTACGTTTAACCCTGCGGTGCTCGTGTGTGGACTCTTTGAGTCCACACTAATTTATTTTTCCCTTACTTTTTAATATTTTTCACCCTAGAAATCATGTGTTTTTAGTACCTTCCTACAAACATCTAATTTAAATCATTATTATGTTTCAATTTTGACTAGTAAAGTCATTTGAGAGTTTTGCCGTCAATCGATTTTCCAGTATCAAGGACCTACAAAACACGAGTTCTGACCATACACTGTGTTAGATGAAATAATTTTTCTACATATTGGAACAAGATGCTGGTCAGATGGCTGAGTTTGTTATGGTAATAGTGCCGTAGCGGTCTCAGACCAGAAGACCGCAGGTTCGAGTCCCACCTTGAGCATGGGTGTATTTGTGTATGACGTGTGTGCCATCCTTTCATTCCTCACCATCATCATCTAATCGTCTATACCCCCAGGGCTAATAACTTCGGGCGATAAAAATCGGGATTCAGCTAAAATGCTGAAGCCCCCCAGAATGGTACTTGCTGAATGGCCCCTGCTGAAGCAGGATGTATGCGTGGTCCAAGTTAGCCTGTACATGG